GTGAACCAACCCAGACACAGAAAGACAAATATCACATATTCTCACTCATTAAGTAGGTGTTAAAAATGTGTACACATGGATGTAGAGAGTGGAATGATAGACATTGGAGACTTGGGAGGGTGAAGGCATGGGAGAGGGTGGATGATAAGAAATTCTTAATGAGTACAATATATGTTATTCAGGTCACAGTTAACCTAAAAGCCCTGACGATTATACAATTGAAGCATGTAAAGAAATTGCACTTGTACTTCATAACTTTATATAAATTAAAAAGAAGACTATCATGTTTCTGTTTTTATCAATAACGTTTTTGGCAGGGGTTTGTGCTGACAGTAAGGAGAGAAGGACAGCATAGGTGTTGTGAGAAAAATCCTAACTCTTTGGAAATGGAACTGCAAGAAGGCCCTAATCAGAGACAAATTGAAAGATTACTGAGTAGCTCAGAAAGCTCATCTTTGAATGCTCCCATTGATTTTAATGTGGACCAAAACATTCCTTTGCTTTGCATTGATTCTCCATGTTCTAGGGCGTTTTGATAGCAAAACTCATAAATGATTACTCAATTTTACAACTGCCTTTGGCTTTGATTTCTCTAGGAAGAAGGAATCCTTTCCAAGTCTTTTCTTCTAAATTTCTCTCTTCTGGTACGTCTGAGTCAGTTCAACATTTACCACCACTTTTTTTTTTTTTTTTTTTTTCTGCCAGCAGTTCCCCAGTTCTCTTTCTGAAAGCAGATTATAATCCTTAACACTTCCAGAATTCCTTCCCCAACCTTCCTTACCATGCCTTTCCTACCTTCTTCAACCAAAAAACTTCTTTCATATAAGCTATGCTGATACCTAAGAACTGAATATATTTTCTTCTTTAAATTTTAAATATTTATGTATATTGCAGATGCTGTAGTCCTATTTAACTTATTTCCTCATTAATCATCATTAATTCATTCACTAAACAAAACCATTCAGTAAAACATTCCACAAAAACAGATCTAGTGCCCACTATGTGTTAGTCAACCGTGGTAATATGGTCTGGCTCTGTGTTCCCACCCAAATCTCATCTTGAATTGTAATTTGAATTGTAATCCCCACAGTGGGGGAGGGACCTCTTGGGAGGTGATTAGATTACAGGGGCGGTCACCCCATGCTGTTCTCATTATAGTGAGTAAGTTCTCCTGAGATCTGATGTTTTTATAAGGGGATTTTCCCCTCTTGGTTTGGCACTTCTTCTTGCCGCCATGTAAAGAAGGATGTGTTCGCTTTCGCTTCTGCCATGATTGCATGTTTCCCAAGGTCTTTCCAGCCATGTGGAACTGTGAGTCAATTAAACGTCTTTCCTTTATAAGTTACCCAGTCTCAGGCAGTTCTTTATAGCAGAATGAGAATGGGCTAATACCAAGGATAGAAAATACAAGATCTGGCACCTAAAAGTCACATGATGCAGTCAATTCCCTTTTCATCTATGTTCAAGGGTAGTCTTACTCAGAATATGCTGACTTAAAACATTTTTAGAGTGATGGGTTAATATTACCTTTCTCTTTCATTTTCTTTCTGTTTTTTAAATCAATGATAGTCCTATTTTTACTCTTGGAGAAAAATGCCTGTGTTTTATTTTTACTGTTTAAAAATGATTTTTTTCGTTCAAGAAACTAAAATAAGCTAAAGAAAAGAGATAAAATATTCCTTGATCACACTGACTTCGTGTATAAAATAAGGTACACACATATGCAGACATTTGTACAAGTTTTTTTCTATTAGGAACTACTGCTTACTCATTAAGAAACACAGTTGTAGTATGTGCTCGTGATGGCTTCAAATGGAAAACCAGAGGAGGATAATAAGCTTTCATTGTCATATTTCTCCTTCCTCACATTTATTTTCATGAATGATACTGTGAAATCAGAGAAAACCTGCAATTTGATGATATGTATTCTTTTATGGATCATTTAATTTATTCCTAAATGTCTCCTTTTTTTTGGTCAAAATATTTTTTTGGATAAACCTTTTTTTCACACAGGGAATGAAAGTGAGCATTTCTTTTAATCCAATTGAGTTATATCAAGAGCTGTAATTTTAACTGTTTTAGAAATCTGAGCCTTCAGTAAGTAAAAAATTGACTTGGAATTTTCTAGAAATAGTCAAGGCAATTATAACATTCTGTTGATGTAAGGTGCACAAATTATCACCAGGTAAAATTATAATATACCTATGACTTATATAGTTACTGTCCTCCGAAGGTACCCTCATCACTTTTACCAAACAAAGCAAAAGCAAACCAAAAACCAGGGATAATGAAACAAAATGAGATTTATTTTATATCTGATTTTTAAAGTTACAAATACAATTGATTTATGTTATGGTGTATTTTATGCCAGGCCCTGTTTCAAGTGGTAAGAATGGAGCGAAAAACAAGAGTTTAGCAAGAGTGACTATTATATTAATCAACAGTTGCATCAGTGTTGTTAGTACCAGGTGGGGTATGCATTCCATGATGTGCATGTACAGAGGAGAGCACGTCTCACTTGCGGGTGAATCAAAGAAGCATCGAGGTAGTGCTTTAACTGAGGCTGCAGTTACCAGGTTAAGTGTTAGCCAGACAGATGGGGGAGGGAAAAGACATTCCAGGCAGACAGAATGATTGTAACATGTGAAAACATGTAAACACAAAACAGCATAGGGTGTACAAAGAATTCCTAGTAGATTTAATTTTCATTTTGAATTTATTCTTTATTTGATTTGCTATTGATTTCAATAAGGCTGGGATGCACAGCATGTGTGAGAAAGTGGCAAGAGAGAGGCAGAGCAAATCACTGGCATCAGAAAATAAATGACCTGTATACCAAGGATATACAGTGTTATCCTGGAGGCCTTCAGGTTTCTGTAAAGGGTAATAGGGTAAAAGGCATGTGTTTTAGAAAGAATTTTGCAAGCAATGAGGATGTGGTTTTGGAATGCTGCCTAACTCAGGTGAAAAATGGTATGTTCTCTGACATAGTAGGGTGCAGAGAGGAGATTCAATTTGAGAGATATTTATTGATATTATAATCTATAAGATTGGGAAATAATTGTGTGTGAGTGTGTGTGTGTGTGTATGTGTGTGTAGGTAATAGTGAAAAGAGGATGGCGAATTTCAAGTTTCTCATTTGGGCAATTAGAAATATCTTTTTCTAATGGGGCCATTTGAGAAGATCAGGGATGCATGAATGAGGCAGAGTGGGTGATGAAGGGGTAAGATGGTATCAGTTTTGGACATGTTGAGTGTTGTCAGATGCCTGTAGAACACTGTAGTAAGAAAGGTCCAGTGGCTAATTAGGCACATAAGTCTGGCACTCAAAAGAAAAAGTCTCAATTTGTCATAGAGATTGCATGTTGGTTTTTCATTAATGTTGAGTTTTTAGGGAGTTGGTGGCATATCTGATACCTTTTTTTGTTTCTGCAGCACATTGTACAGGGTAAGCCTTAGGCTTGCATATGATTCCCAAAACCTAACCTTTTTTTTGGTTCTAATTACTAGGATGGGGCCCATTAATGTAGAAGAAATAAAGACTTTCCATCAACTGATGCCAGTTTATTTCTTTTCCAATCCAGTTATTGAATACATAGAGAGACCTGAATTGGTGGGGCAATACAAAGCTTAAATGAAATCAGAATCAGCCTGAAGAATAGTAGTAAAGAATGATGTCACCTGCATTTTATGGTTTGACAGATATTAGGCAGATGTACAGGTGTATTTCCAGAATTTCTTCCTTAATTTTTTTTTTTGTCATATTGTCTGAAATTTCATCATTGCCATCATTCCTTTGGAACATCAGGAGTTTTTCAGTTTTAAGGAGTTGCCTAATAAATGACCTCATGAAGGGTAATTGTTATTACCTTCATGAGGTTTTTATTACCTGTTATTACCTGTAGAAGTTATCAGATAGTGTTAACAACATTTTTTAATGAATCGGAGCTTTTGAGATATCTAGAGGAAGGATAATTGAGACAGGACAAGAGTATGGCTGGTTATGTTCTATTTGTTCACCTCTTATTGACATTTCCTTGAGATTAATGATTTCAATGCTGGCAATTTGAGGCCCCAGAAGAAAATTCTTTCTTATTAAATTGCATTTCTTTCCCCCAAAAGTCACTGCTCTTTCAGAAGGCATTATTAACAATTCTAGATATTCCAAAAATAAATTTAGATATCACTGCAGTTGTTAATAACAGATAAATAACATTTTGCTATGTTACAAGGAAGATGGAAGTGTGTGAGATAAACCATAAAAAGTAAGATTTGTTGCAATTCAGTTTTATTCTCTTATATCTACACACAAATGCATGAAGGACTTTTTATTAGGGTAAGGCAAGCTGCTATAACAAATAAATCCCCAACTTTCAGTGGCTTAATCCAATAGAAGCACATTTCTTGCTCATATAACAGTACAAGGCAAAGGATCCTGGCTGGCATATGGCATTTTCCCACGCAGTTATTCAGCAGCTTTCCTATCCCTTTGGGCCTTGTCATTTGCATCCTTCCAGCTGGTAGAAAGAAAGAGAAATTATGGAGAAGTCACAGTTGCTTCTTCAATCATGGCATGGAAGTGACACACATTACTTCTGTCTACATTCCATGGGTGAGAATCAGGGACATAGGCCATACTAAGATGCAAGAAATTCTGGGAAATATGTTCCTGGTTGGACAGCTATTTCCCAGTAAGAAAGCTATACAATGCAAGGAGGAGCACAGAATTTTGTGGACAGCTGGTTGCCTTGGCTACGGGGACTATATCACAGATATGGGCAAAACACAAAGGTCACACATAAAAATTGCTCATTATTTTATAGCCACATTTCAAATATATGAGCACATGTATATAGAAGGAAAGAAAATACTTTTGTTTGATACTTTGCATTCATTTTGGATATTATGTGGTTGCTGAGATCTTTTTAATACTAGCAAGAATGTTGGATTTCTTATTCATTGTGTATGAGAAACTGAGACTTTCTTTCCTTATTTTTAAGGTTGGACGAAATTTGCCCGATTGACACGAGCTTTGACAAATAGCCGAAGTGTTTTGCAGCAGCTCACACCAATGAATAAAACAGAGGTGGTCCACAAACATTCAAGATTAGCTGAAGTAAGTATGAGACAAACTTTGCTTCCCAAGATGGTGGTGTTGGTACATTTTTCTTCCCCAAAATGATTTAATATAGATATTTCTGGCTATGATCTTATAAATACTTAGCTGATAATTTATGTTTCCCTTGTAGAAATATAGAAATTCCAAATATTTCTATTCATTCTCTCCAACTTTTGAAATGGGAGTGTAGCTTATGACATCCCATGTCATGTCTGTAGAGTACAAGTTTTCTTTGAGCATATCAGATAGGGAGTTCTTTCATTGCTTCATGAGTATATGCAGCAAACACATATTCAGGGTATGCTCTGTGCTTGGCACTCTGCAAAGGATGTAAAGATAAATAAGAAATGGGCCCTGTCATCAAGGAGTTAAATACCCAACAGAAACTGATCATAAGATGTGAAAAAATGCAATGACAGGGTGCCGTGGAAGCCTGTGCAGGAGAATTTGCCCAAATGTGGGGCCCTAGGGAAGGCTGTATGAGTGAGATGATACCTGGACTGAGTGAATTCTGAAGGGAAAATGTGAGAGTTAGTCAGGTAAAGAAGGGATGCAGTTTATTCCTACTAGGGAGGCCAGCATGTACAAAGGCTCAGAGATGAGGTAGTATGATGACGTTGAGTATGACTTTAGTGTAGTTGAATTCAGATGGGGAAGGAGAAGGTAGGGTAGCATATAGTGAAATGGTGGTGGCTGGTGTCTCATGTGCCAGGAAAATGACCTTTGTGTCTCAGAAAAACCTCTCAAAGGAGGTGCATCCTAATTGGTTTCTTTTGCAATTTCATGTTTTTATTGTGTTAATTCAAAAACTTTATTCTAAGAAGAGGCCCATAGTTTTTACCAGATTGCCATAGGGATCCAAGGCACAAAATAATTAAAAACTCCTGCGTGACCTAGTGGCTTTGTGGAGAATGGGGAGGTAGGGAAACCAGTGAGGAAGTCCTAGCAGTAAGTAAGTCAGCATGACCACGGTTGTCAGCAAGATAGTGACAGCAGAAGCAAGTGGATTGCAGACACATTAAGATTAGAGTAAACACATTTGTTGATACATGAGAATAGTGTGTGAAACAAGGGGTTGAGTCCAGTGCGATTCTATGTTTTTTATTTAGACGACAGGGTAGATAGTACTGTTGGTTAATAAAATGATGAATGTAAGAGGAAGGAAAGATGATTTGAGGACAATGACCATGAGTTCGGTTTTGGGCATACTATAGGAAGTCCTAGTGGAGATGCCTGAACGGCAGTGAGATTTATGGGTTTGGCACTCTGGAAAGATATTTGAGTTTGAGTTGTAGGCTTCAGTATCATCCTTACTGTTATGGCTGTTCAAGTCATGTGACCAGACGATGTTACCCTGAGACTAAGGAGAAAAAAAATGAGGACAGAACTCTGAGGCAGCTAATAGCTTTATTGTTCGCATGTCTTCTATAACCATAATTTGTGTTACTGGTTTGAAAGATGCCAAAAAGCTCATTAAGCTACCAAAACTATGCTGAGCACTATGTTTGCACTCACAAAATATTCTCAGGTAACTTTTACCAAATGAGAGACAGATAAAATAAAATCCATATGCTTATCAGTTTTCTCTGCTGCAGAAAAGTGAGTCGAAGCCCTTCAGAGTAATTTTCTTAACTCATTGTAAATATAGACTTTGGTTTGGAGGAGATTAGGAAGTAAAGTATGTTCCCTGAATTTAGAAGACTATAGAGTTTTCCTTAGACCATGGCTAACAAAAAGACTTATTATGGTTTTCTGCTTTAAACAGCACTGTTAGCTTGGGGAAAGATGAATCCTTTGATGTGCAGACATGTTTCTGAAGACCAAAATAAGACATTAATATAACTAAATATTAACTAATAATAATAATCACAATATTTAAAAGATAATATGCAATTAGTACAAGATTTAAAGCAGACAGTGAGATACAACTTTCTTTTGCAAAAATGCTTAGATTTTGGAGCTATTTACTCTTTTGCCTAAAGTTGCCTGTTTCTTTCTACAAATCAAGCTGAAATGTAGGAGATTGTTTCTGTGATTGCTAATTTTTATAGTCATGATTCCTTCGGAGTCTTAACCACACCTTATTCAGGATTTTTCTTTTGTCTGTTACACAACAGAGTGAGAGCAAGTGGAAGGGGGACATAGAGAAGAAAATCTTCTCCCTTAGCACCCAGAATCACTCAGGATTGTTTTTCTCTATGTCCAGGGAAAAGAAAGAAACTTTCCCCTTGACATTTTCTCGTTTTTACTTTTGAGAAACATTCCTATTGCATCCCATCGGTTTTTTTTTTTAATTTGTTCTGTGATTAGTGTTAGTTTCTTTGCCAGTCATCCCTTATTCATAAACCTGGTTCTGATATAAAACTGCTTTCTGTGAGATCTTAGGATCGGTTTCAGAGAGCACACAGAAATAACAAGATTGTCGATAGACATTTAGTCTGAATACCTGCCCTGCAGCGCATGCTCTTAATCTCCAAAGATAGACATAAAAGAAATATCAAATAAGTACAACAATATTGTTTTTCCAGTGGTACTCAAAACTCATATAATTTGCTCAATGCAAGTATTTGGTTTTGCTATGGAATTTTAGGCTCTTCCACTTTTTCCAAGACAGATACATTTGATCTCAGTTCTACTTGATCCCCCAAATTTGGAGCTGATCCCCAGTTTCAAAGATTCCAGTCTCCATAAAGGTAGTTAATTAATTTTCCGCATGCCTTGACGCCCTGCTGATTGCCTTTAGCTTGTTCACTTTTATGTTGGGTAGAGATAAATGTATGCACCCCGCCACATCAGTCAGTGGGCCTGACTTTGTTGGAGTCAATGCTCTCAGATCTTCAGAGAGGAAGAATGTGTCTGTATTGGTACAAAAATACATCAAAAAAAGGTGATTTCATCCTCCCTCCACCAAAGGCTTGTTGCTTATAAAAGCACAAATGAAATAACAATGAAAGTGAAGAGTCTGTTACTCACTGTTTTATAAAAGAGCCCAGGGACAGAGTGAAGATTAAGGTAATGCTTTGCAAATGAAAAAGATCAAGCTTCAATTATTTTTTGTGCACTATTTTTTGTTGTTGCCATTTTCCTCTTCTTCCTCCTCCTCGTCCTCCTCTACCCTTTCCTCCTCCTTTTTGTCCTCATCTTGCATTTTTTTGGAGGGCTTTACATACGCAAATCACTGTCTAGAGAATTGAATCCTGAATGTCTAAAGAAATGTAAGACAGATCTTAACTTGGGCTGTACATTGTAAACACCTGGGAAGGTTTTGAAACTATAGATTCTCTGAGAACCCAACCAAGACCAATTTAATAATTCTCCAGGGTGGAGTCTAGGTATAAGTATACTGTATTCTTTTAAAACTTCCCCAGATGATTTTAATGTATAGCTAGGTTTAAGACTTTCTGAATTTAGGGTGATGCCATTGCATCTTTAGAGGAGACCTGCAATAATCCGGGGTACTGAGCAGGGCTGACATCTGTTAGCACAGTAGGCACAGTGTCCAGGGCCCCACAGCGCTTTTACGGGCCTATAAGATGTTTCAATTTCTATTAACAGCAGAAGAAAACAGAGTAACTTTTAGGTAAAAATGAAAATTGAATGTGTGATATTAATATATTTATCTTTATAGGAATGCTGTTATAATATATACACACATGCATATATATATACACACACACACATATACTTTTTTTTTTTTTTTTTTTGAGACTGTCTTGCTCTGTCGCCCAGGCTGGAGTGCAGTGAGTGGTGCGATCTCAGCTCACTGCAACCTCTGCCTCCCAGGTTCGAATGATTCTCCTGCCTCAGCCTCCAGAGTAGCTGGGAGTACAGGCACGTGCCACCACGCCTAGCTAATTTTTGTATTTTTGGTAGTGACGGGGTTTCACCATGAAGGAGTCCAGGAAGGAACGAAGGCTTAGGGTCCATGAAGGTGGTAATGCATCCTGGCACTGAGTTTGTTCTTATTTCCCAAGTTTGATTTATTTGTGGTTAAACATAGACTGTGTATATATAGATGGTAAACTACTAACATTGAATATGAAGGCAATTTTCATGTGTAGCACAATGAAATTGGAACTGACAGGCCAGTGGTTGAAAGGCAAAAGAAACACCACGATTATGTACAATTGTATATATATAATGCATCACCCCAACATGACTTACACTCCTGGCAGGATAATTTGCTGTTAAGTAATTTAAGACATCATGGGAAAAATATAACTGAGGTACTGATAATGGCAAATACATAAAATATCTTTACAAGTATTCTTACAAACCCCAAAATAAAAACAACAATTCTAACATACAATTAAAGAGACTACCAATGATGTTTTCCATATCAAAAAATAGTAACAATGGATATCATATTCTTAGTTTTCCGATACATAAGTTCTGTATGTGAGAGGAACTTTAGGATACTCTCCCAAGCTTCCAAAGATGCTAGTATATTTGTTTTGTTTTTTGGCATATATTATAACTCAGAGTTACATGCTAACAAGTATTTTTATTTTTATCCATTCCTACATCTAAATATTTAATGCATTTATGATTTTATGATTTGGACTTTTTGACTCCTACCTCCTGGGTCCCATTAGTCCTAGAGACACTGAATAACTGAATACATATGATGGGCAAAGCTGTTGAAAATATTTAAAAATTTCAATTTACCAAACTCTTTAACACATACGTTATCTTTGGCTTCATTGATGGCAAAGGGCAGAAGTTTTTGGTTTACCCCTTCAACTGTTTTTTTTTGTTTGTTTGTTTTTGTTTTTGAGATGTAGTCTCGCTCTGTCGCCAGGCTGGAGTGCAGTGGCGCAATCTCAGCTCACTGCAACCTCTGCCTCCTGCGTTCAAGTGATTCTGGTGTCTCCACTTCCTGAGTAGCTGGGATTTATAGGAATGCACCACCACACCCATCTAATATTTGTATTTTCAGTAGAGATGGGATTTCACCATGTTGGCCAGGATGGTCTCGATCTCCTGACCTCGTGATCTGCTTGCCTCAACTATTTTTTAGAATTCCCAGATTCCAGGTTCCAGAAGGCAATGCTATGTCTTGTGTTGGTTATCTTTGCCCAGGGATACACAAACCTCTACTCTTGCTCTGTCATCTGCTTTTTATCTTTTTTTTTCTACTGTAATTAGACCTAATTAGTATAATTCAAGGTTCATATAACCTTACACTGAAATTTTTCCATTTGTCAAATAGGTATACAGAAACAAACTTGAGTATTTAATATTTTTTTCCCTAAAGGAAATTTGCACTTGGGCAAGAAACACAATATTCTTTAAGTCCAGATCTAAGGGAGAAAGGGAAAAAGCAGGTGATACCCTTTACAATCCTTTACACTGCTGTGCCAGCCATCAGGGCCCTTGCTGAGTATCACTCAACAACAACATCACCAACAGTGGGATGCTGGGGTCCAGCGAGGCCATCAGAATCAAAGTTATGCTTCCCGAGGTGCTAAATGTGTATAAAGAATAGATAATGGTGTGTCACCCAAATAACTGCCGGACAGTCCATGAGAGCCCTGTGATTCTAGGGGGGCTTACAGAGTGAGTGTGCTGGAGGCACTTGAAGAAGTGGACATCTAGCAGTATTGTGGATCAGTGTTGGCTACTGCGTCAGAGCAGGCCAGATAGAACAGCAGAAAGATCAGCTTTGGTAGAGCGCTTGGACTTGGAGTGACTTCCTGTGAACAAATTTTAGGACAACTCAGGAAAAGAGGGAGGCAAGACTATGGAGCATGACTGGCTGTGGTTTGACTGCCAGTAGATTTGAACTCATCACTGACTGTGCAGAGATAACCTAGTCATGTATAAACACATTTTCTCTCTTTTAGGTTCTTCAGCTGGGATCAGATATCCTTCCTCAGTATAAACAAGAAGCGCCAAAGACGCCACCACACATTATTTTACATTATTGTGCTTTTAAAACTACTTGGGATTGGGTGATTTTAATTCTTACCTTCTACACCGCCATTATGGTTCCTTATAATGTTTCCTTCAAAACAAAACAGAACAACATAGCCTGGCTGGTACTGGATAGTGTGGTGGACGTTATTTTTCTGGTTGACATCGTTTTAAATTTTCACACAACTTTCGTGGGGCCTGGTGGAGAGGTCATTTCTGACCCTAAGCTCATAAGGATGAACTATCTGAAAACTTGGTTTGTGATCGATCTGCTGTCTTGTTTACCTTATGACATCATCAATGCCTTTGAAAATGTGGATGAGGTAAGTCTTTTGTTTTGGTTTTCTGAGTACTGTGGGTCATATGTTTTGAAAACATCAGGATAAATGGATTCCACAGATAATCCAAACCTCTTTTTAGCCACCATTTTCAACTTTCTTGAAACCCTTGCCAAAAGTTATTGCATTTGATCACCTTAAGTTAGTGTTCATCTATTTCTTTTCCTTGATATCTGGTTGAAAATACTAATTACTGGGAATTGGAGGTTGTGGATGGAAGAAGTGGAGGAGAAGAAAAGTGGTGGCATTTGAAGTCAATTATGGTTCACAAACTACATAATTGATTGAAAGAAGATATTAGGTTGGTGCAAAAGTGATTGTGGTTTTCACAATTACTTTGAATGGTAAAAACCACATTTACTTTTATAACAACCTAATGAGTAGATGTATTTTCTCTGAAAAGCTTCAGCATTTGAACACTCTGTTCATTCACAGATCTATTGACTGCTCCTCTCAAGATACTTATGGTAACAGTGGTAGAGTTAACATAAAGATAAAGAAAGTTTTATGAAAGAGCAGTTCTTGAATTTTTGCCACTTTGGTTTCTTCCTCATAGCTTTTGCTTTACATTTTGTCTGAATATATTTGTGGGTATTGGATGACATATTAGTCCATTTTCATACTGCTATAAATATACAACCTGAGACTGGGTAATTTATAAACAGAAGATATTTGACTCACAGTTCCACATGGCTGGAGAGGCCTCAGGAAACTTATAATCCTGGTGGAAGGAAGCAAGGACCTTCTTCACATGGTGACAGGAGAGAGAAAGGAGCACAGGGGAAACTGCCACTTTTAAAACCCCCAGATCTCGTGAGAACTCCCTCACTATCATGGGAACATCGTGGGGAAAACTGCCCCCATAATCTAATCACCTCCCACCAGGTCCCTCTCTTGACATGTGGGGATTACCATTCGAGATGAGATTTCGGTGGGGACACAGAACCAAACCATATCAGATGACTTCTGATGTCTGGTCTAATTTAAGGCTCTGCTTCTTCAGTGTTATCAGTGCACCTAGAAGTAATTAAAATATGTAAAAGCTTAAAAGACCACTTCATTCACAGCTTCTCAGCCTCTAACTTAATAGCAGATGATATTTAAGTTGTTACACCAAGCTAATAGGATATAACCAGTAATTTCAATTCATAATATATAGAAGAGTCAGTATAGAATATATCTATTATTAAAATGTCTTAATAATGGTAATATTACTAACTTAATTGTCCTAAGATGTTCCTATAGATTCTACTCTGTAGACTGCTCGATGGAAAATTCCTTATTCTGTTATTATTATTATTATTATACATTATAATATATTATTGTTTCTCTATGTGTGTTGGGAGATAGATTGAAACTTTTCTTCAGTGACTTTTTCCATAAAATATTTACATTCAATCAACTATAATAATACAAATATTATTTCCCCCAAATTTAATGTAGACATTGTATTTTCATACTGTATATGTAATTATTACTTTACAAATTATGGGAAAAAAGAAATCATAGTAATTCATTTTCCAAGTTTTGAGTCCACCTACATGAAGCTTTTAAAGATTTTTTTTTTCAAATTTATCTTCTGAAGTGAGTTAAAGGAGTTAATTTTGAAAATACAAATCACATAATAGGGGACAATAAGCAGTATTTATGTTTTGCACACTACACAGATGATTACATTAATACATTGGTTATTTAGAACATAGGCCTAAAGATTTTAATAAAAGGAATCACTCATGTGGAATCTAGAAAAGTTCATCTCATATAGAGTAGAATGATGGTAACCAGGGGGTGGGGTGAATGGAGAGATGGTCAAAGAATACAAAACTTCAGTTAGGTGGAACTAAATTCAAGAAATCTATTATACAACATGGTGACTATAGTTAACGATGTACTACATTCTGTAAAAATGGTAAGAAAGTGGATGTAAAGTGTTCTTACCACAAAAATGATAACTGTGAAGAAACACATATGTTAACTAGCTAGATTTAGTCATTCCACAATGCATACATACTTAAAGACGTCATGTTCTACATAGTAAATACATGCAATTATTTCTGTCAATTAAAAATAATCAAAAGATTGGTTTGATTAGTATTGCAGTAAATATATTGTATAATAATAAATACATTTATAATTATATGTAATACTGCAATAATATTTATATTAAAAGATTCCCTCAATTTTGCTCATATTCAAGAAATGCAAAGTAAATCTGCACTAAGTACAATTTTCATTTATCATGCTGCAAAGCCCGAAACTGTTAGAATGCTAGGCTACTGAGTGTAGTAGCTAAGTAGGCACACCGCTCAAATCTCCTTTCATAAACGCGTATTGTGTGGAGTACAGTCAGCGGCACCCTCGGTCCAGCTCCTGGCTTTAGAAAGCCTGTTGTTAGCATCTCTTCTTAACTCAGCATTTAGTGATCTCACAGTGGTGGCTTGAAATTAGCCACAGTGGGAGTATTTACACCACAGAAAGTAGCAAAAGCTACAAATCAAGGCCTTTTTAAAAAAACTTTCTGTAGAGCTAGTTGTTAATCATTTTCCAACACAGCACTGAACACAGTTAACTGAAGGCTGCTGCCTTTTCTGATCTGCTGCAGCTCACATATTGGAGCTGGGCTCACACATTTCTCCAGGGCTGCTCCCTGTCAATGTCTGAGTATGGTGGGAATACTATAACTTGTCCATATGTGCAACTTCTGCTCTGGGACTGTCCATTTATTATGTAAAAGTTTAAGGTTTTTCTTCCTACCTGAGTCTTCCTTCCCTCTTTCACAGGTGTTAGACTTGCATTGTAGTCCAAAGGCTCTTCGTGTTCCCCTCCTCCCTATTTTGTCCTTCCCAGGCATTTCCATCAGTAAAATTCTTGCGTAAATAACCCTGGCTTGGCATCTACTCCTTACAGGACCTCAATTGATCAAGTGGGATGTGGTACGTCCCTCTCATATACTGCTCAGGGGAGAACGAATTGGTAAAATCTCTATAAAGAACTGTTGGCAATGTCTCGTTTTAAAAAAGAGAAGACCCTAGAGCGCCACTTTCAAATTTTTCGGTGGCTTCTTTTATTATTTGCTTCCATGTCACCAAACAACGTGACTACATATCTACCTCTTGGTTTGTCAATTTTAGGTTTTGTCTTTGACTTCTCACTATGAAAGGTGAGATTTTAGCTCCCCTTTCTACCTTCTCTTACTATTTACATGCACCATTTTCATCACCTAATTCTCACAATGTATCATCCTTTTGATTCAATAAATATTAAGGGTTGATATTTTTGTGATTAATTTGTTTCTTTTTTTGGAGACAGAGTCTTGCTCTGTCACCCAGGCCAGAGTGCAGTGGTATGGTCACTGCAACCTCTGCCTCCCAGGTTCAAACGATTCTCCTGCCTCAACCTCCACAGCAGCTGGGACTAGAGGTGCACACCACCACACTTGGCTAATTTTTAAATTTTTTTTAGTATTTCACCACGTTGGCCAGTCTGGTCTTGAATTCCTGACCTCAATTGCTCCGCCGCCTCAGCCTCCCAAAATGTTGGGATTACAGGTGTGAGCCACTGGGCCCTGCCAAGTGTTTATATTATTATGACTGCAAATGTGCACTTTCTAGCTGATCCTTGCAGCATGTTGTAATTACTTTTCCTTTTCTACACTTTCCATTTTTCTGGGAGCTGATAACTGTCTGATTTTATGTTTTCTATGTTCTTATCACTAATTCAGCCACAAAGTTCTCTGACAATTATCTAAATCTCCCTTCATTACATTGATGCAAGAGATATTCTATCAATATCATTTTCTTAAACAAACCTCTCTTTACTCTGTCACCTAATTGATGGTTGAGCTAGCTATAATATTCTTGGCTAGAGATAATTTTCCTTCAGAATTTTGAAAGATACAATGCCATTGTACTCTATCTTCCGGTAATTCTGATAAGAAACTTGAAGTCATTAAGATTTCTGGTCCTTTACATGTGACCTATTTTCTCTTTCTGGAAGTTTCATATATCTTCTCTGTTCCAAGGTTCTGTAACTTTCTGATGATATACCTTTGTGCAGATCTATTTTCATCAGTTTTGATGGGTGTCAACTAGGTGGTCCTTTTCAGTCTGGAAAAACATGGCTACTGTCTCGATATTTTTCCTATTATGATTTTCTCCAGCCCTCTGACCTTTTCTAAATTTTCTCTCTTTCTGGAACTCCTTTTATTCAGATATTGTACCTATGGGACCACTCCTGTAATTTCCTTTTTTTTAAAAAAAAATCTCCTATTTTCCAATCCTTTATGTTTTTGCTATACTTTCTGGGAGATTTCTTCCACATTTTTCTAACGTTCTTTGCCCCTAATAATGCTTTCCTTGCTTAAGGTCTGGTTTGCTCTATACTATTATAGCTAAATTTGCTTTTGTGTAGTTGGTATGTACTTGGTCTGTATATTTCTGGATATATGTTTTATGAGTAGTGTATAGATTCTGAAAGTCTCTTTAACAGGCAAGTTTAATCTGTTTACATTGATTGTGATTAATTACGTTTTGATTTACTTAGTACATCTTATTTTCTATTTTTAAATGCCTTTTCTTATCTTTGTTTTTTGCTGTTTTCTTTTCCCTTTTGTTTTTCCAGGTTTTGGATTGATTGAATTTTTCTTTAATCTCTTGGATTCCTCCTACTGGTTTGGAATTTTTTCTGTTAATCTATTACTTGTACATTTTTAACATCAGTGTTTGACTTAAATTCCAGAAGCTTCTAAGTATCTTTACCTTTCTTCATTCAATTCAAGCACTTCTGTTCCCCTTCATCTTTCAAATGATTATTGTCTTTTTTTTTTGGGGCCTACATTATTTTTAGTTTTTTTCTTTTAATCTGTGATTGTTTTATTAATATTTAATTGTCAGTTCTCATTTAGATTTATCCACGTTTATCAGCTTCTTCATTCATACTATTTTACGCATTCTTCACCTTCTTTCTGGGTCAGTTCCTGTAAATTG